TACATGTGTGTAGATTTTCTAAGGAGCAGCTTTTACCTCTTCCTTTTCTGTGCAGCATCCTGCAGTGCTTGGGGGGACATTTGCTAAGAACATTCTTAAAATAGAGGCATGGAAACCAATCTGTCAGGCAGAAGTGTGCAGGCGGTGAAGCCCTGGTTTCCGTGACACCAAGCTGGGATGTGAGTTAGCTTGTCCCACCAGCCTGGTCCTGACGATAGGGACCCCGAGGGTTATGGGAGGGGTTGAGTGACCCTGCCTGCATTGGCTGAAGCCTAGCATGAGGACCCCCGAGCCCACTGTGTCCTTGACCGTGGCTGCCTTTGTGATTCTAGGCATCTGGAAGACAACCAGGTCAGTGCCATTGAGAGAGGCGCCTTCCAGGATCTGAAGCAGCTGGAACGACTGTAAGTACAGAGTAATGTCCTTTCTTGAAAAGTCCTTTTCTTTCTTTCTTTTTTTAATTGGCCTCATTGTGACCTTGCTAAAAAATAAATAAATAAATAAGTCTCCAATGTTTCATAAAGACTTGGCTATTATATTTAAAACATATTAGATGCATGTTAAAGACACCCCGAGATATGCTTTAATTCTTTTTCTTTAGAAGATCCTATAATTGGCTTCTAGGGGTTGTTGTTTTTCTCCTCAGTTTGAGTTTTCTCTTGGTATCCTTATAGACGGCTGGTTTTTGCCCAAGCCCCAGCCTTCTTGTTCTTGGAGGAGGGAAGCCTGCAGTTATCCCTGTCATGGAAACCAGCACTGAAAACTCCCTCCTCCTCTGTACTGGGAGTCGCTCCCTCTCGGGGGCCTCTCCTCCCAGCGCCTCCTCTGCCCCTTTCTCGTGGGAGAGGAAGGACAAGTTGGTGGGCGAACTTCTTCAACGTGCTTGTGTCTCCTCTGAGTGAGCATCAGCTGTGTCAGGAAGCCCCCACGTTTCCACGTTGGCAGTGGTTTACAAATAGGCTGGCTGTTCGGACTCTAGCAGAGGGAGAGAGGAAAAGGGGTAGGTCTGAGAAATGGATGGAGCCACCATTTGTTTTGTTGATTAATGCTTTTGCAGAAAACTCTTGGGTCACTTTGATGATTGGGGCTGCTCAGATGGTTAAGTGGGCAACTTCACCTTTCCTCAGTTAATCACATCTGGCAGCTCGTAACATCTGGATATGTGCTTTCTGCCCTAGAAGCAGGATTGTCCCCAGGAGCACTTAGTCATACTGGTTGGCGGCTCTCTGGATGGCCTGACATTTAGGCCTCCTCCTGCAGTTTGGAGAGGTGGTTACCACAGCTCACCACCCTACCAATTTACCTATAAGGGTTGCACTCTGTTGACCTGCCCTGTTACTAAATCTCATCTGCAGAGACAGGCTGCCATCAGTTTGTTAGCTTTATGGCCTGCCATCCTTTCCTATGAAGATGACCTGGGAAGGAGCTAGAAAGGTCCTCATTTCTGTCAGTGGAAGCTTGCATGTTGCTGTGATGTGGAACAACTTGCAACTGATCTTCCAGACTAATATAGAGTAGGAAGAAAGACCTGATGATCTACTTCTAAAATTCCAATCAGTGAAAACTCTATGGCTTATAATAGTCTGATCTGCAACCAGTCCTAGGGATGGCTCAGACTGGGCAGTGTTTCACTGACTGCCTCGTTGACAGTTAACAACAACATTACTACTCAGCAAAATCCTTCACTTCCCCTCTGTTCTATGAATGTTCCATTTATTGCTCTCCTTCTGGGTCAGATGTCAACATATGGTCTTCTGTTGTTCATTTGAAAATATAGCATGTATTTATTATAAGGAAAAATAGTCATAAAAATAATGATGTTTGCATCTGTTTAAACTGTTATTTTTACGTTTCTTAAAACTCAAGTTCTACTAATTTAGATAGAAGAAAAGATAAAAACTATTTTTTTAACCTGGTTTCTTTATGTAACACATTCAACATTTACATGGAAAGACCAATAGTCATTTGTGAAAAGGCCACTCCTTGCATAGACTTCTGATTGGAAGAGTAAATGCATTCCCAATTTACTAATTTCATGGTTGTTGGAAGGGAGGGAACAACTTGAGTATCTTGGACATGCCAGGGACTATGCCAATATTTTCTATGTTATCTGTTATTTTATCCCCTACAGTTCCTATGAGGTGCTATTGCCCTCATTTTGCAGATGACAAAACAGAGGCCCGAGCAGGGTAAGCCAAAGAATTGTCAGTGGCAGAGCCAAGATTCAAAGCCACATGTGTCTGACATCAAAGCCCACATCTTTTTGTACTCCTGTGCTATAGACATTAGATGAAGTGTGATCTTTAGCAATGGCCCTGCAAATAGGCTCTCACATACCCATTTAACTCCAGGGAATATCAGTGAAATGTTTTGGCAAAAGGCCCTCTTTTTTTGGCTTGGTGATTAAGGCTGAAATGCCATGCGTATCTAGGGAAAGAAAGGGATTACAATTCCAGAGTAAACCTTGCTATTTCTCTGCTTCATAGGACTGGTTAGGTAATGTTAACTGCTGTACTAAATAAACTCTCAAATGTCAGTGACTTAACACAGTGGACGCTTACATTCTTATTCCTGATTGCTGGGCTTCTCTCCTCCAGGTGGAGACTCAGGACTCAGAGGCTTCCATTCCTCTGTTCTACCATCTTTAAATCTTGGCTTCCATGGGAGCAATGTCTGTCTACATCAAACCAATAGAAGGCGAGACAGTGTGAAGGATTGCATGTGGGAGGTTTCCATGTGCGAGACCTAGAAGAAGTGCACATTACTTCCATTTACATATCATGGCTATAGTGGACTTCAAGGAAGGTTGGGGAAGGTAGTTGAGTTATTTTCCAAGGGATGAGGAAATAGTCTTAGTAGACAGATAGCCAATCTCTGACTTACTTTGCAAATGAGCTAAAGAAGCACTGAGTCAGGAAGAAATATGGAAGCACAGGCAGCTGGACTAGTGTTCCCAGATGGATTTGTTATTGTTGTTGTTAGTTGCTGTTGAATTGACTGACTCACGGTGACCTCATGGATAACAGAACAAAACATGGACTGGCCCTGCACCAGCTTCACAATCATTGGTCTGCTCAAGTCCATTGTTGAAGCTACTGTATATTGTGAGTGTCTTCCAACCTAGGTAATCCATCTTCCAGCAATGCAGCTAACACTGTTCTGTTTTGATCCAGAGGGTTTCATTGACTAGTCATTATCATCAGTTCTTTCCTCCTAATCTATCTTAGTGTGGAAGTTCTGCTGACACCTGTCCTATGTGGGTGACCCAGCTGGTATTTGAAATACCAGCAGCAGTGCTTTCAGTAAACTACTGCAGTACAACAAACTGATACATGAGTGGTGATTCTAGAGTATCCGCTTCACAAAAAGACATATACAATAATGCTCATGTGGCATTATTTCCAGTTGTTGTTGTTAGGCGCCATCAAGTCAATATGGACTCTCAGCAACCCTGTGCACAACATAAAGAAATACTGCTTGATCCCGTGCCAGCTTCACAATTGTTGTTACATTTGAGCCCATTGCTGCTGCCACTGTGCCAATCCATCTTATTGGAGGTCTTCTTCTTTTTCCTGATCCTATACGTTACCAAAGATAACACTCTTTGCCAAGGACTGGTCCCTCTTGATAATATGTCCAAAGTATGAGAGATTAAGTCAAGCCATCTTGGCTTCCAAAGTGTATTCTGATTGTACTTCTTCCAACACAGATTCGTTTGTTCTTTTGGCAGTCTTTTAATATTCTCTACCAACACTACAACTCAAATGCATCAATTCTTCTATGGTCTTCCATATTCACTGTTCAACTTTCACATGCATATGAGGTTATTGAAAATACCATGGCTTGGGTCAGGTGCACCTTAGTCCTCAAGCTGACATCTTTGCTCTTGAACGATTTAAAGAGGTCTTGTGCTGCAGATTTGCCTAATACAGTATCTCTGAATTCTTAACTGTTGCTTCCACCAGTACTGATTATTGCTCGAAGCAAAATGAAGTCTTTGACAACTTCAATCTTTTCTCCATTTATATGGATGTTGTTTATTGGTCCAGTGGTTAGTACTTTTGTTTCCTTTACACTGAGGTACAACCCATACCCAAGACTGTGGTCTTTAATCTTCATCAGGAAGTATTTTAAGTCCTCTTTGCTTTCAACAAGCAAGGTTGTATCATCTGCATATCTCAGGTTGTTAATGAGTCTTCCTCCTATCCTGATGCCATTATTTTCTCCATATAATCCAGCTTTTTGGATTATTTGTTCAGCATACAGATTGAGTAAGCATTGTGAAAGAATACAACCCTATTGCACACCTTTCTTAATTTTACATCATTCAGTGTTCCCTTGTTCTGTTCAAACAGCTGCTTTCTGGTCCATGTACAGCTTCCTCATGAGCACAATTAAGTACTCCAGAATACTCATTCTCTACAGTATTATCCATAGCTTGTCATGATCTTCACAATTGAAAGTCTTTGTGTAGTGAATAAAGCACAGGTAAACATTTATCTGGTATCCCTGCTTTCAGGCAAGATCAATCTGATGTCAGCAATGATATCCCTAATTTTACATCCTCTTCTAAATCTGGCTTGAACCTCTGGAAGTTCTCTGTTAATGTATGGTTGCAGCCATTTTTGTATCATCTTTAGCAAAATCTTACTTGCATGAGATATTCATGATATTGTCCAATGATTTCCACATTCCATTGGGTCACCTCTGTTTGGAATGGGCACAAATATGGATCTCTTCCAGTCAGTTGGCCAGGTGGTGGCCTTCCAAATTTCTTACCATAGATGAGTGAGTGCCTCCAGTGCTGCATCAGTTTGTTGAAAGACTTTAGCAAATCCTGGAGCCTTGTTCTGCCAGTGCCTTTAGTGCACCTTAGACTTCTTCTGGTATCTTTGGCTCTTGATCATATGCTGCCGCTTGAAATGATTGACCATGTCTTTTTTGTACAGTAACTCTGTGTTTTTTTTCCATCGTCTTTTTACGCTTTCTGCGTCATTCAATATTTTGCCCATTGTTATTATGTGCCGTGGAGTCGGTTCTGACTCATAGCGACCCTGTACAGGGTTTCCGAGGCTGTAAGTCTTTATGGGAGCAAAAAGCCTCATCTTTCTCCCATGGAACAGCTGATAGCTTCGAACTGCTGACCATGAGATTAGCAGCCCGATTCGTAACCACTATGCTACCAGAGCTCCTTTACTTTGCCCATAGAATCCTTCAATATTGCAAGCCAGGACTTGCTTTTATTTTATTTTTTAATTCCCTCAGGTTGAGAAATGCTGAGATTGTTCTTCCCTTTTGGTTTAATAACTTCAGGTCTTTACACATTTCATTATAATATTTGACTTTGTCTTCTTGAGCTGACTTTTGAAATTTACTGTTCAGTTCTATCACCTCCTCATTTCTT